ATCGAGAAAATAGAATCTGTTTAAGGAAAACAAACTGCAGGTGTTAAAGATAAGCGACAGCGCAGTATCTGTAGCTTTTGAATAAATGCTTTGAATTGCTACTGTGACTATGATATCATAATGTAGCTATTCATGCCCTTATATTGGTCTTTGTAAAACTATACGACGACCACAGCGACTATAACGTGGTTTTTGATAAACTGGTTGGTAGTTTTAAACAGGTCTAAAATTTGAAAATACTCAAGTTAAGACTGGAAAAGAGAAAACGTTTTACGAGACGTATCTACCGATCATATTTACGGATGTTATCCATATCTTTCATCATTTTCGATTACATAACTACTTCCAGGGCTGTTTTCATTGGAAGATGAATGCTTTCCCAGCTGTAGGTACGAGTTAACTTTGCTTAGTGTTTTTGTCTCCACAAGATAAAAAAATGTTGCTACATACATACATACATACATACATACATACATACATACATGCATACATATGTAATGACTTTGAGTGGGTTGCTGAATGAATTTATTACGATAGTTAAGACTTGAATTACACGATAACTACTAATCCGAGCACGTGGAACACTGACTGGCATACTCGATAACACTCTACTACGCGCATGCTCACTCATTTGCATAAATGCATCTCATTACAACATACATACATACATAAATACATACATGCATACTTACATTACATACATACATACATACATACATCTCATTGAACACATACCCATCTGCGTGTGGTGCCAAGACTTTCTTCACGTCTGTTGAACTTTTCTTTTAGTAAGTAAGTAGGTAAGTAAGTAAGTAAAACTTTATTTACACAGGGTGGCCCATTCAGCTCAAGGCTGGTATCCATAGGGGCCCTGTTTCTTACAAATAAATTACATCAAAACTCTCAATTATTTATATATAGGACCTGGATTTTAAAACTACATTAACAGCGCAAGACTACAAAGCCAAAACACGATTAAGACCTAAAATAATAGATAAAATATCAATTGCAAGTTAAGATAAAAAGAAATGTCTTGCTCTGGGGCAGAACGTTTGAATGTTTTAACTCTTCACAATGTTTAAAGGGAGTTTATTAAAAATTTCTGCGCCAGTAAAAAGAAAGGTCCTTTTCCAAAAATTTTGTTTTTCTTTTGGTAAGGATAGCCTCATACTTTGCCTTGTGGAATAGTTGTGAATATGTCACAATAATCAAATAAGGGAAGAATTAAAGCATTATGAACAAGTGCTGCTGCCTCCTTTGTGACGAAACTTCTAATACGGCCCAGAATACTAACTCTTGACGCCACCTTTTTAAACACATAGTCAACGTGAGCCTTCCAAGTCATATTATTGTCAAACATCACGCCTAGGTATATAAAAGTAGTTTCACAAGATATGGACTTTCCGAAAAGATGAAGATTTAAAATACAATCGCGCTCTTTATGCCTTCGAGATGTAAATAGTACACACTTAGTTTTTGAAACATTGAGAACAAGACTGTTGTCTTCTAACCATTCAGATAGACACTGAAGATCTTGGTTAATGTAAAAGGTAAATTTTCTACTGTTTGGCTAGCAATATATAAAACTATGTCGTCAGCGTACATATTCACAGAACAGTGTTTGACACAACGTGGTAAATCATTAATGTAGACAATGAATAACAGGGGTCCAAGGATGGACCCTTGCGGCACTCCAGAAGTTATGGCAAGCTCTTCAGATGATTGAGAATCAATGTGAACGAACTGCTTTCTTCCCGTGAAGTAGTTCTTAAACCATGGAAGGCTTTCGTTACATATACCATAATACTCTAATTTTCTAAGCAAAATGTCATGGTCAACTGTGTCGAAAGCCTTTGCCAGGTCAATAAACACAGAACCGGTGACTAAGCTCTTATCCATATTCATGAGAATCTCGTCCGCGAAATAAGTTACAGCCGTCTCAGTTGAGTGCATTCTTCTAAAACCGGATTGTAATTTACAGAGCAAGTTATGATCGTCAAAAAAACTTGCAAGTTGCTTGTGGATTAAACGTTCTGGGACTTTAGATACTACTGGTAATACGGATATGGGGCGGTAGTTTCTTGAGTCATCTTTTGAACCTGATTTATGCAGAGGGGTCACCTTCGCTTTTTTTCCATTCAGCAGGGATAACTTTTTGTTGGATAGTTAGATTAAAAATGACCGACAATGGAGAAGCTAGGGCGTCTGATCCGTCTTTTAGTAGACGAGATGGAATACCATCAACACCTGTCGCTTTTTTCCGGCGATTTTAAATCTTTACGAGCCTTACTAACCTCCGATACAGTGATCTTTCGTAGTTTAAAGTTTCTGGACGATAAATTTGCGGCAGCCATTTGGAAAAGGATCGCGCGCTTGATCGGTGGATCGACCTTAAATCCTCGGCACAAGAGTCAAAGAAGCGATTAAAAGTGTTACACTTTTCTTTTTATTCATTTGCCTTATTCATTTAGCTTATAAACAGGGTTATAAGCTACATCAAGAATTAATGAGCAGACGATTCTCGTGAAAAGTGGCAGCACTTAACTTGACATGTAAACAAGTGAACATAGCGAACAAAACAACTACTACCACCGCAGCTGTTACAGGCACTGGTCTTCTTGATCGTCCAGAATGGTCATCACTGGTACCTGGGGAGGACAACCTTCCTGTTTGTAGCAGGCAAAAGGTTGTCTGCT